CTTAAACTAAACTGCAGATCTCACGTTATGAGAAAATATTTTTAGTGAGAACAAGGAAATGATGCGCACTTCGATATTATGGGAGACACTGCTGGATTCGGTGGATGAAAGGTCCATCGGTCGGTTTGAATAGGTGCAATGACAATACTGTACAACTACTGCTGCACAGAGATGTTGATGTATGCAGGCAGACTCCTTCTGTGATAGTCACATATTTGAAGGATAGAATTTAAAGTAAACGGTAAGATTTGCACGTTTCATTTTTTTTTTATTTTGTCAGTGACGCGCCGAGTAAGACAACTGCATTTTCTACTGCAAAATATAAGTAGGCCAAACTAGCCTATATAAATACCCTAAAACATATGTGTACATTATCAGCAAAACGACATAAATTTGATTTATTTAAAACAATTAAAATAGCCTACTATTTGGCCAGTGTAAAAGAATGAATCAACTCTTTTCTAAAAAGTTTCTCTGTGAAGTATTTTATACAATTTTGTTTTTATGGATTTTTTGATATATTTATTCTAAAACATAACAAGGATATACTGGATGATTTTAGCAATGTAAATTGTATGGCAGAAATGGCATTTATAGTCCGTATCTCCTTAATATCTTGTACCTTTGATGGAGTTAAACATGGTGTCACATGGATGGGAATATTCTTGGAAATGATATGCAGGTGAGGTTATGCATAGTAAAACTAGGAGTTGTAAGCTCCATATATGGTGATTTCGGGGAGGAGACGGGGTGGAAATGCACATACGCACAATCTTTCTCTGACTGGGATTTTTAAAAGGATTTTTGCGCATGTTCTGGCGTACGAATGGTTTTCTAAATCTGAACACTTTTGTGCGTACGCAGAATCTAGCTTTCGTGCGTACGTACACTTTTAGGATGAATTCTACGTAAAGTTTTATAAATGAGGCCCCTGGTCCTTAGCAGATCTGAAAAAACCTCGGATGAACAACAACATGCAACATATTGTACTGTCATTATTTATTTAACTAAAATAAAGCCAAAATGGAGAAGCTATGTGTGAAAACCCTCATGACTCAATAGCTAGAAGAACCACTTTTAGCAGTTTTTTTTTTTGTATGACTTTATCAGTCTCTCACATCGTTGTGGAGGAATGTTAGCCCGCTTTTCTTTCCAGCGTGGCTTCAGTACAGTTAAGTTTGCAGGCTTTTGTTTATGCACCGCTCTCTTCTCTCTTAAGGGCAGTCGGGTTGAGGTCTGGACTTTGACTGGGTCATTGCAACACCTTGAGTCTTTTCTTTTTCAGCTGTTCTGTTGTAGATTTGCTGGTGTGGTTGAGATCATTGTCCTGTTGCATGACCCAATTTTAGCCAAGCTTTAGCTGTCGGACAAATGGCCTCACATTTTACTATGCAGGATATCTTGGTATACAGAGGAGTTCATAGTCGACTCAATGACTGCAAGGTGCTCAGGTCCCATGGCTGCAAAACAAGCCAAAATCATCACCCCTTACAGTATTTACCTAATTTTAAAACCCTCTAAAGACCAGATTTTTTTTTTTTTTCATTATGTCCTGATACATAAATCCATAGAATTCAAAGAGGGTGTACTGTCTTTTTCACATGACTGCATCGTTGAATTGAGAATGCCCTTAGATGGCTTGAAAAGAAGGTTTGATCAGATTCAGCAAACTTCTTGGAATTAATTTGCTCCCAAAGTATAGTTAATTACAACATGTTTTTCTTGACAAAACATCAATTTATCCATGTACAGTATGTGTTCTGGAGGGGAAGTTATCTATATGCTTAATTGATATGTGGTAACAGTCTGCTTCATTCCAGCTTCCTTCTGCTTTGCGTCTCAAACAAGTGTATATCTACTAACCAGACCAACAATGCATTGTGTCCTCAGATGCCCCCTTACAACGATTGTATCAGTGCATGTGTGACGTGTGTCTGACGCTCAAAACATAACCCAGGCTAATCCCAGATTTAGGCCCAATCCCAATTCTATATAACGCTGCCCCACGACTTTTATTAATAACAGTTTAAATACTGAATCGCTACATTATATTTTCCAGCAACGAGAGGATAAAATCGCTGTCTTTGAAGTAAACTCACTCTAAAAAGAGAAACGCACAGATGCTCGTACACGCAATTTTCATCTCTCTCTCTCTCTCTCTCTC